GAGTGCATGCAACTCGCTGGATAACTGGGAGATATTGACTGCAGGGTGGGAAAGCAGAAGGTTGTAGCTGAAAAATGTGCCTTTCCTGATTCAACCCTAAATAGGAGGCTCACTGAGGGTGAAGTGAAGGCTTTCTCAGGCACACACAAAGACAGGCAGGCATCAAACACTACACAATTTCCTGTGTGATTGGCCAACACATCGACACTGTTGTAAAGAAAAATATTCACAGATGACAGTGACAGTGGAGCCAACAACAGCAGTCCAATAGTTCAGGCTCCAAGAGACAGTTTAGGCAAAGTTAACACCAGGAATAACAAAGGCCTTGAGCAGTTTCTCCTATTATGAATGTCTTATGAACTACATCATCTCATGACATCTTTTGTTCTCTTTGGCATGTAAAATATACTAGACTTAGACTCTCTCTGAATTTGGTCCTTAATCTGCACTCACCTTAAACTGGAGGTGGAGATTTTAAAGGAAATGAACAGCTTTTGTGATGTAAAAATAAATAAAAAGCCCTTCCCCTTCCATTCATGATTTATCATCTTCTGATTAAACCTCAGTGGGTTTTAGATCAGACCTCTAAAGTACAACGCAGCTACATGGCTTTAAAGCAGATAAACCCGTGTCCCTCTCACACTGCCCCCACTTCCAAGCTGTTTCTTAAGTAAAAAGACAGCTAAACACGGAAGAAGAATAAGAAAGAAAAAAGATGTTTGGCTAATGCTCGGACACAGAAAAACTAAAGCTATTTACAGATGAAAAATATTTTGGACTAACATTAATGGACATATCTGTAGTGTATGACAAGTGGATTTATTTGCATAACTTGTATTAATGTTAGTGGGAGGCTTGCGGCTAAATTGCTGCTCTTTGTGCTGTTAATTCATTCCTAAGGGATACATTTAAATTTTTATTTACAAAAGCTGAAACACTGTCTTTAATTCATACTGGTCTGACAGACAAAAAGCACAGTGGAATAAATTAATAAAAAAGGGAAAATATGAACTCTGAATTTAGTGAGTTAAGTTTTTGGGGAACTTAGGCATTGCCAAACTGATTCTGACCAATGTTTAATTATCTGCAATATTATAGTAGCTGTGTTGGTCCCAGGACCTGAAGAAGAGCTCTGTGTAGCTCGAAAGCTTGTTTCTTTCACCAACAGAAGTTGGTCTAATAAAAGATATTACCTCACTCACCTGGCCTCTCCATTATTTTATTAGGCTAATATTCCATCACAACAGTACCAGATGCACCAAAATGCCCAGTGATGAACAATTATTCAATAGCATGTTTATGGGGGAAGTTTTTTCTTAACTGCTGTCCAAAGTTGTCTTATGTTCTGAAGTTGATGTGACTGAAGTTCATATTTGTGTGTCTAATCCTCACTGAATCTTTCTACGCCATCTGCTACAATAATATTTTGGGGTAGTTTCTAAAAGGTTGTTGCACAAAAAAATCATTTTTGTCATTTATATTTTTAAATGTTTTGCCTTCCTCTTCATTGAGTCTCCCCTTGTTCTTTTGTTAAGGAAAGAAGGTAAAATCGGAGGGGCCTTATATTCCTTCTTTGTACCATTCATTCATTTTATATATGTCTACCATATCCTCTCTTATTTGTCTCCTTTCTAAACAGTTCTAAGCCTTTCAATCTCTCCTCATACAGAAGTTTTCCATTTGTTGCCCTTCTCTAGACCTTTTCTATTTCTGCCATATTCTTCTCAGACTTAATGATCAAAACTGAATGCAGTACTCTAGATGAGGGTGAACCACACGTTTATTTAATGGCATGATAAACATTTTCTGTGTTTTTCTCTATGATTTTCTATTCATACAGTGTAATGTACTATTTGCTTATTTCACTACCACTGTATTGAGAAAGTGTTTTCGTTAAGCTGTCCACAATGATATCTGGGGCCAAATTCTCCTCTGACTTTCATGCTGTGCATGGAGTTGCACGCCAGGTCAGAATTTGGCCTTCAATCTTTTTTCTGGCATTGTGACACAATGTTCCTTCTAACATGCACTGCCTGGCATTTGTTTACACTACATTTCATCAGCCATTATGTTAGGTACCTCTGAAATTCCTCACAGCCTTCTCTAATCTTGACTCACTTAAATAATTTTGTATTATCTGCAAATTGTGCCACCTCACAGTTCACCTACTTCCAGATCAATCATAAATACATTAAATAATACCCAGTCTGAACGCTTGGGAAACCTGAAAGTTAGCCTCCTTCTATGTTGAAAATTGCCCATTTATTCCTACTTTTTGCTGTCTATCTCTTAACCAGTTTCTAATCCATGACAGATCGTGTCTTAGGAGGAAGGAGCATATCTTTTAAAATTCTCTCTAAACTGTTATACAAAGCTGTGGTATCATATACATATTTTTATATAAGCCATACTTGCTTCTTTTTATCAGCTCATATTCATCTAGTAGACATTTTTTGCAATTATTTTATCCAAGTTATTTTTTCAATTAATTTACCCAGCCTTGATATAAGGTTCTCTGGTCTGTAATTATACCAGGGTCATCCCATGTATCTTTCTTAAAAAAATGGTACAATTTTAACTAGGCTCCAGCTCTTTATAGCAGCTGAATTGAAGCCAACTCTAGTTTGCAATAAATTTGTGGAAAGACTTTGTGCCTAGGAAAGTGAGTAACGGTGCTGACTAGAGCAAGATACAGCGCCTGCTTTCCCACAAACTCTGCCTAAGCATCTAGGTCTTGACCTCCAACAACCTCCTGGTATTCCAGCCCTCAGCCTCTCCTGAGCTAGTGGTTTTGTGATGTGAGCAAGCACCGTCTCCAGATTAAGAGTCCATCAAATTCCTTTTCATTTGCGACCTAAACAAAGTAGGAAAACAAACTCTTACAGGCGAGTGTGGTGTCCAGCATGAACTCAACATGGCACACGGCCTCATATTTTGGGTTGTTTCAATGGGCAATAACTTTCAATGCTATTTTTCACTCTCTGTTGCTGTAAATACTCTCTTGGAAACTTGAATAAAAACTGTTCTTTCCTTGTTGATTTTTACCCCCCTCTTCTCCCGCTTGTGATTGAAATTAATTAAAAATGAATATGGTGAGTTTTGTTCTTATGGGACAAATGCTGCCCTCACACAAAATTGCTGAGTGGGAAAAAGATAGGACAAAAAGAATCAAAAGCCTCTTACATGCAGGGGAATTGGAAGGGCAGAGTCCTGCAGTGGAGTCAAAGGTGCTTAGTTTGTCCTATCCAGTTGTGGTCTTAAGTGAGGCAGGCATGGCAAGGTGAAAAGCAGTTAGACAGAATTATGCTGTGAGAAAAGCAGCCCCCCTCCCTAGACTAGAAAGTCCCAATGAGCCTAGAAGGAGTTTGCACTGGTATAACATACACCTTCTTCTGGCCCTCTCAGTGGCTATGTCACACCAGTTTAGGCCCTCATCTTGCAATCTGATCCAGGAGAGTGGGCTTGTTCACCTGCATGGAGCCTGGGTAGATCCAATTGCAGGATCAGAGCCTCCTGGGGCTTTTTCTAGATGTCCTTAGACTTACATAGAGTCCCAGTCACTTTCCAACATGTATCTCACCTCCCCAACCCTGCTTAATCACCACTTCTAAATATGGTTCACTGAGGCCTGGTCCACACTAACCCCCCACTTCGGACTAAGGTACGCAAATTCAGCTACGTTAATAACGTAGCTGAATTCGAAGTACCTTAGTCCGAACTTACCGCGGGTCCAGACGCTGCAGGCAGGCTCCCCCGTCGATGCTGGGTACTCCTCTCGCTGAGCTGGAGTACCGGCGTCGACGGCAAGCACTTCCGGGATCGATCCGGGATCGATTTATCACGTCTAGACAAGACGCGATAAATCGATCCCAGAAGATCGATCGCTTACATCCGGACCAGGAAGTAAGTATAGACGTACCCTAAGTCTAAGCTGGTGTAATTCACAATTCACACAGCAAGGGGGCCACACAGAGGAATGCAGCAAGAAAAGTAATTAACAGGAAGGTGTAAGAAAGGGCAGCTGCAACCCTACCGAAATTTACATCTTCTTATGCGGTCTTTGAAAACCTTAGCATAAAATTTATACCAAATTAGGCTCCCTTGCACATCAATAGGAATTGGTGTGTGTAGGTCTAAGAAAGCCTAAGGCTTTACCTATGTTAAAAGTTACAGCAGTTTAACTAAAATAGTTTTTAAAAGCAAAACCCTTTATGGAAGCTTACAATCAATTTAAACTGAGCTTCTATCATTTTAGCTGAATTCAGTTTCTAACAGTCTTTGGTGTGCTAACAGAACTGGGGCACCTTTTAACATAGACAAGGCCCGAGTGAATACAGGGGAGGCTGTTTTACACTATAGTACATTACCCCTCAGTGTGGGTGCTGTATATTGTATTAGACATATATACATGCGATAATCTTCGATTGTGTCTATATATGTTTGACAAACATTTACAGCCTGATTCTCAGAATTGCTGAACATCTCTAGCTCCCACCCACTTTACTGGGGACTGAGGGGGCTCAGCATCTTCGAATAAGAATAAGAATATTAATATGTGTTAAATATATATGTAATGCCTTGCCATTCCTTGCACTTATATTAGTACATCTCTGCCTGGGCTGTGTCACTGATCCTTGCTCTCGTCTATGGAATAAGGTACGTTTCTTAGCCATGTTCCCTAGTGACTTAGGTAGAACTTAGAAAGCTCCTATTTGTTTTTCTGCCCATCTAGGCATTAATAATGCACTCATTGCCATTGTGTGCAAGTGCCAATTTCAGTGTATGTTTCACCAAACATGCTGCCCCCAAATGGCGAGCCTTATTGTATCTCACATGCAGTTTTAAATGCCTTCAGAGGAGTTTGCCGATCCTTAACGCTATAGAAGCACCAACATAATCACTGATGGCAGCACACACAGCTCTGGGAATAGTATTTCCAAGTCTGCTTTAGCATGGAACCCACAGAGGAATCACAAAGAAGAAACATAAGAATGAAATACCTCATGATATTTTTTCACTGTTTTCCCTGCTGTGCACGTGCAGGATCTCCAGTTCACTGTTCCACAGCCACAATTCCCCCCACAGCGCTGGACCAGGAAGCAACGGGGAAAGAAAACTACATTTGTCAGCTTCAGTTCCTCCCTTAAATTGACAGAGTAGTTCCTTGGAGTGCAGCTGTAACGTTTCACATCATCATTCAATCTGTCCAGGTCAACTGCAAAGCAAAAGTGGTCTTTGTAAGGTTGAGTGGGAAGTGTCTTAGAGTGAATTGCTCTCTTGCATGGGAAGTCACAACAAAGGGTTGTGCTCCTGCAGCATCATTCAGAAAATAAATTAAGTGTCAATGTGACTTCTTTAAAGGTAAATATCAGGAACCCAGTTTTTATGTGATTGCACATGGTCATCTTGGCCCTGATTCTGTTCCACTGAAGTCCACGGCAAAACCCCCATTGACTTTAATGATGCTGGATCAGGGTCATAGTGGGTAAAGCACTGGGATGGAACTCAGGAGACTGGGTTCTATTCCCTACTGTATGACTTGGGAAAAGTCTCTTCACCTCTCTGTGCCTCTGTTTCCTCTCCCACCATTTGTCTTGTCTCTTTAGATGTAAACGCTCTGAGACAGAGATTGTCGCTTATTATGTGTTTATACAGCACTTAGCACAATGCAGCCACAATTTGAGTTAGGACCTATCGTTGCTACTGTAGTACCACTAAATAATAGAATATCAAAGTCTAAATATAATTTAAAAAGTTGTCAAATACTCTTATTTCACTGAAATTTCCATGCACAGGTTTTCCATTGTGGTGAGTCATCTGATGTAAAAATACAGTCAACAGTGGTTTGAAGAATAATTATAATTCATGGTTATAAAATCCCTACATACAATGTTATAAAAATTTCCTAAAGCCAATTTTATAATTAAAAAAAAAAAGAGGACTAAAAATCACCTATTTTAGTTTTGGAAGTTCTTTTTTTTAGTTTTTCATCTTTTCTGTTAGATTCTGCCCCTGAATTTGTTGATGAAAATTTGAATAATGCATCGATAGATGGAGGGAGCTGACTAATGCAATTCTGCAGCTTCCCCATGTCAAGCAAGAGTTCACTCTCTGAACTGAAAATTGTAACTGGTAGGAAAAGACACACTAAAATGCATTGTAAGTTAATTTCTAATTGATAAAATGTAAAATCTATAGCTTGAGAATGAGTCACAATTTGCACTGGAGAAGCCACCAAGCCACTGCATTGAACCTGATTTACACAATCTGCAGAGGAAGTAGTGATTGGTAAATAACATGCACCTTTAAATTGTGGCTTTGAAATATTTATTTATCCAAGATACATATGCACAGTGGTTATGTAAATGACATTAGCACCAGTGGACACACTCAAGTCTAGTTCATTTTTCATGCAATGTGTTAACCCAGTTCGGGGAAAGTTAGCAGATAAATCAGGATTTTGGACATGTTGTGATACCATGAAAATCATCTCACCATGAAAGCTCAGCTGTTCTCTCAAGAGAGCTAGTATCCCAGCAAAGAAGGTACATAGCTTCCTCTTGAGAGAAGCACAAAATCAATGGGAGTTACCAGTACACGCATGCATTGAGAGGAAAATACACCCCAAATGCACATAGCTAGTTCTCGGAAGAATAAAAAAATATTGATTTCTTTGTTTCAACAGATTATATTTTGTTCTCTGTTGTCACTCTTCAAATGCACTCCCTCTCACTGTTGTTCCCACAGGCTACTTTTTTTCACAGGGAAGAAGGTTCCCTCTGCCCCCAGCTCCCATCATTCCCATCAGCACTTTCCACACTACACTTTGTTTAAAGATAAAGCAAAGCTTAGTTTGTTCACCATTACTTTAACCAATTGGCAATCAGAAAAACTGACCAAATGGAGATGGTGCAGATTCTATAGTCATGCTGCGGTAGTGGCAGCAGCGGTCGGAGCCCCGGGCCCTTTAAATCGTGACTGGAGCCCCACGTGGCGCGGGCCAGGCAGCTTGGAAGGGCTGGCTGGGGGACTCTAACCCCCCAGCCCTGCCCCTTCCGCCCGAGGCCCCCCCCTTCCAGAGAGGGGGGCGGTGGGGGTGCAGAGACGGCCCCCATACCACTAAGTTTTCAATTTTACTTTCACCCCTGGGATGGATAAATTTATAAAGAACTCTAAATCAATTAATGAAATAATACATTTTTGGTATGTATATTTTTCCAGCATTAGTCACTGGGGAAAAATATGAGGAATATTCCAAGATGCATGCACAAAGACTTTTTGGATCCGCATCTAGATTTTTCCATAGTGCTAAGCACCTACTGATTCCACTGATTTCATTTGGCATTGCAAATTTTCAACACCTCTGAATCTCATACTTTTGTAAGCATGGTCCAGATATAAAGGGATTAAGAAGCGCACAGGTCACCCACTACAAATGTCACCTAGAAATAATACTGAAGTTCATTTTGGATTCTGCCCTAGCAAGGTGGGACAAACTAAGCAGGCAACATACATGTTCTTAACAGAAATGCCACATTCTGATCCTACCATAGAGATACACAAGAACTACTCCCACTGCTTAAGTGACTTTAAAACACCATTTGTAAATCATTAACAAAAGAAAGTTCTCTAAAGAACTCCCTCTCCAGAAAGCCCAGATTTGAGCTTTTCTTCGGTCTCAGAATTGTTTTACTTTTTGGAGCCAGTTCATTTCCTCATTCATATAACAATGAGATCTTACAGTACAGACAGCTTCATGCATCATTTCACTTCTATGACTAAAAGGTAACTGAGTCTTGGTGTGAAATCCTGATGCTTTCCTTATCAAGGGATTGAAACCACTGGGGTCCTTAATTTAAAACTGGAACTAAAAGGTTCTTCAGACGGGCTGCAAATAGCTTCAAAACTGAAATTACAGAATTTTTGCAATTTTTGGTATGTGTCCTAAAGCCTGTCAGGGAATTCAGCTGTGAATCCTCTGCTGAAGTCCGGCATCTAAGGAATTTCTTGCCACTGCTGCCACCACCTCCTGATAACTCTTAATCCAGTGGTTAGGGCACTCACTTAGAATGTGGGAGACCCCCGGCAGTTCAAGTAAACTCTCTCCACCTGACAGGAATAAGGGATTTGACCAGGGATCTGCCACCTCTCAGGTGAGTGCCCTAACCACTGAGCTCTAGATATTCTGATGTGGGGCTACCTCAGTCTCTCCTGTGGACAAATAATTAGAGTTACTAGAGCAGGAGGACTGGATCCTGGCTCTCCCACAGACTGCGGATGCTTTAACCACCAATTATAAAGTCATTCTCGTACATATGTGCTCTCTCTCTCTGGCCCCAAAACCCCACAAAGCAGAACAGCTTCAGCAGGAGAGACTGAGGGAGCCCCCACATCAGAATATCCCAGTGGCTAGGGGCATTCAACTGAAAGGTGGTAGATTGCTGTTCAAATCCCTTCTCCCCCTCAGCTGGAGGAAGGAACTGGGGGTCTCCCACATTCCAGGGGAATACCTGCACCACAGTTATGAGGAAGGTCCCCCTCCCCCTGAGCACAGCTAATGGATCTGGCCCCACAGGTGAGTTAGGTAGAAGAACACCTATCTTCCCCAGTTTGTGAATCACTCTGTGGCTTAGACCTCCAGATACCTAGAGTGAAGCAGCACTGTGCATGCTCGGAGGCAGCCAGGAAATTTTCACTGCAAAAACTTAGGCACTGATTGAGTTTAGGCACATACAGGGTTCAGCAGCAGCCGAGTGCATGGTTTTGTGAAAACCACTGCTGCCTGATTCTGGGATTTAGGAACCTAACTCCCTTTGTGAATTTAGCCCACAGGTGTGTATGTGAGGCACAATAAGCCACTGCAATTTTCAACAGCACAGAAGCTACTCTAAGTTGCTGAGAATTCAACCCCATATTTACTTAACAGAGCCAAATCGTCCATTGGTGTAAACTGACATAATTCCATTGGTCTCAATGAAGTTATTCTGTTTTACTCCAACTAAGGAGCTGGCCCACAGTTGTAAATCCTCAATAAATGTCTAATAGTAACAGATATTTTCTTTTACATTTTTAATCCAGTGACACATTCAATATAAATGCAGTATATTTGAGAACTTTAAGATTTATCAAATCTTTCTTAGTGGCAACTGGAAGAAAAGGATGCTGCATTTGGATTTCCACTTTACTTACAGTTCCCAGATAAAACTCTCTCATACAACAACTACTATTTAAGATGGAGAGGGCAGAAATTTCAGTGGGATTATAACTGTCCATGGGAACAAAGGTTCACAATACATGTTCCTATTACAAGCTGGGACACCAATTATGTCCAGGGAGTGGGTCAAGTAGTACGAACAGGCCCAAACCATCGCTGTTGAAAATGGGTGCAGCTCCGACACCAATGGTAAATATGACTTCACGGGCTTCACCAGCCTTTAACAAAGGTTCACAAGAAAAGCTTTCTGTTGCAGTGCCGTTTGCTCTAAGTGTCCCCAGTAACTTCACATACAGTAACAGGAAACATAGGCACTGAGTTTTTCCCTGGGGATGCTCCACCCCAAGGCCCTGCCCAAACTCCGCCTCTTCCTGCTCCCACTTCACCCCTCCTTCTGAGGTCCCACCCTCACTTCACCTCTTCCTGCCCCACTCCGCCCCCTCCCCCAAGACTCTGCCATCGCTCGCCTCTGCCTACCCTGCTCTAACCCTACCCCCGAGGCCCCACCCGACCGCCGCTCCTTGCTCTCCGTCTTCCCCTAAATGCCTCCCTCCCAGCCACCAAACAGCTGATTGGTGGCAGCTGCCTGAACAGCTGTGAGCAGTGGGTGCTGAGCACCCACTTTTTTTTTCCTGTGGGTGCTCCAGCCCCGCAGCACCCATGGAGTTGGCACCTATGACAGGAAATATCCCATTTGCCACAGTGGGGAAGAGGATGCATAATCACTGGGCCTGAGTTATATTATGAAATGACTGGGCACTTTGCAAAGTATAGCTAAAGTAATTCCTGACTAAGGGTGGAGGGGTATTCTGTTTGTTCAGGGCTTACAGTAGAATGAGTGCATTTAGATAATTAGCAGTTATTTGAGATGGTATGTCATGAACTTATAGTATACATATTTGCCATTAAAGCAGAGGCATTTTGAATTTGTGCTGTTTGTATTTAATGTCTGATGCACTGTAACTTGCTGGCGACTATCCCAGAACCTTTCAAGGAAGAGT